GACACGGAGCCTTTCGTGGCTGCAGTTCTTTGACCAGTTTGACAATTCCGTACTCTGTGACTGAGATTGGAAACCGGGCCTTCTTTGATCCTTGACGAAGTTGACAATTCCGGAGTCTGTAACTCAGATTGGACACGGAGCCTATCGTGGCTGCAGTCCTTTGACCAGTTTGACCATCCCAGACTCAGTGATGCAGATTGGACAAGATGCCTTTCGTGGCTCTTTTGGCTTTGGCTGATTTCACAGATCCGGACTCCATGGTCCATGACCGACCATTGTGGCATGGCAGCCTGGAGATGGCATCCTTTTTGGGATGAGATTTGGCCTAAAAGACACCGGTCTTCAGACGGAAGTCGTTGAGCAAAAAGAATGGTCTGACATCGACCAGGGGGGACCTGGGGAAATTCCGCCTTCAGTGAGTCTGAAAGATGGGTATGGACTGGACTTCTATAGGGTATGGACTCTTCCAAATGATGTATGACATGTTTGTCACCAAGCGCACTCAGAATGGACGCTCCAGCATTGCAAACGAAACCTTTTCCACCAGATTGTTTTGATCAATTGGGGAATGGAATACGAAATCCATTTGCAGAGTATTCCAGAGTATTCCCCAATTGATTCCAGAGTATTCCAGAGTATTCCATTTGCTTGCTTCCCTGTTGTCGTGGACCGAGCCGAGCGCTCGAGAGCGCGCTCGCTTTCGGCGCTCTCCACGTCTGCAGCGCACCACAGGGTTCCCAGCAAGTTCTCGCGCCACAGAGTTCCTTTGTTTTTTTTCCCGGTCTAGCTTGCGCTTTTGTGAAGAACACTGTGCGTGGGAAAGGTGAAGGTCACTTCCAAGGGCGGGGTTTGGAACCCAAGAGGTCAGTGGGACCTCATTCGATTGGAGTTGAAAGGACCAGGTTTTATTTGGTCTTTGGACCTGTGGCCAAAGAAGGAGTCTTGGAATAATTTGAGAACCATGCAACTGCAAAGGCGTGGATAACAGGACACTCTGAATCTGGGCATGTGGTGGGAGCACCTATGGTTTTCGCACCACTGAAGGAGATCTAAGACCTCTTCTTTCCCCAAACTGACATCCACTCTTCCAGAACCACAGCGAAGACTTCTGGATAGATGATCCTCGAACCCCCTTCACTCGGGAGCTCCCCCAAAAACCAAACCAAACATCGCCCTCGCGCGTTCCGTTCCAAAGATCCGGTTCGTGTCAGGCCATCTGCCTGGCTTGCCCACCTGGCTTCTATTCCTCCTCCATCACCGATGTCTGGGGTGACACCGCCATCTGCCGCGCCTCGGTGTGGGGCGTCCGGCGCGCACACCGCGGGCGCGTTTTGGGCTGGGTGTTGCATTAAAGTTCATGAAAGCAAAACGGTCAGCAGAAACGATTCCGTTTCTTTTTGGGGCTTCCCAGAGGCCACATCTGCTTCTAAAGGGTTCACAGATGGGCTTTCCTGAATTGTTTCGCACCTGGTTTGGGGTTGTCAAAGGAGTCATTCGGCCCGGGTTCGCAACGAAGAACGGAAAGGGTTTTGCTTCGGAGCCACGCAGTTCTAAGGGTTCTTTTGGTGGTGGCAGTGCAAGGTCCGGCAAGGTCCAACCCACTCAGTTGTGACATGTTGTGACCATGGTCGAAGCACCCAGACGTACTCGCGCGTACGTGACGTACTCAGAGTCTACGCTCGCGGACTCGCGGACTGCAGCTTGAGAGCTGCAGTCAAATGGTCAAGTTGACAGAGCTCCAACCACATCCCCAGAAGGTGGTTGGGGTGGGTTTGCGGGGTCTAACCACCTTCTGAGGATATCGGATGATTTTAGGCAATGCCTAACCCTAACCGCTCAAAGTGATAGGTTGTTCATGACCATCATGACCCTTGACATCCCTTGACATCCCTTGTCAACTTCCGTGTGCATGTTGATGCATTTTGTTTTAGGTGTTCAAATCCCTTTGCCCTTTGGCCTCTGCCAGCAACAGCTGATGAGGAGATGAGATGTACTGGTGAGTATTTGTGTTTTTTTTTGGGGGGGAAAACAACAAATGATGCCACCTCAAACCCTTCTGGTGGGATTTGTTCCAGAGACCGGAGAAAACAACGGGATATAAATATTGATCCAAAACGGATGTTATTTATTGGTGTTGGTCGACTTTATGCGCAAGAGATATGCGCTATAAATAGCTTAATGAGATCGTAACTTGGGATGAACCCGAAGACTATATATCACGATGTGTGACTCGATGTGCTTGGAAGATTTGCTTGGTCCATTCATTCTTTCTTTGTTAAGCGGCATTTGGAAAGTGGCCTTCACTTTGCAGGATTTCCACGTGCTTTTCACCTCCATAAGCCCTCCGAGCGCCATCCGACGCGCCTTCTTGCCCCGACCTCTGACGCGTCGGCCCTCCCACGTACGTCACGAGCACCCCGGACGGGCGCCGAGGCCAGTGTCCTCCGGGATCGTATCAGTCGGTCTACTCCTCCGCGAACTGTGCCCTCGAGGTGAAAAAGGATGGTCAGTTGGAGTGAGTTGGACTTCATGAAATACTGGAGTTGGTGATACCCAGACACGACTCATGGGACTGCCAGGACGGACTGCCGCCCCAGACAGACCCTTCTGGCACCACCCCTGGCCGTTTCTCGGCAGTCCGGACTGGCAGTCCCATGGAGTGTTTGGGATGCAACAGCACTACTCCAGGAGTCATTTGACCAGATTTGACTGGGTCAGACTGGACTTGGAAGAAGACCAGACCATTTCACGGTAGTTCGAGTCGGTCGGAGAGTTGGAGGGTCAGGTGTTTTGGATGGTCTGGGTGGGGTCAGGAGTTGGGACGGTCTGGGTGAGAGGAATTTGATCAACATATGCACTGTTCGCCATATTTTGAGGCCTTCTGAGAGTGCCATGGTTGGGTGTTTTGGATTTGACACGAACATCTCAGCTGAACGGAAATGGACCATTTCTATGTTTCTGAAGCTCTCGAGCTGTTCACGACCATTCTCAGTGTGCTTTCGGCTTATGCTTTGTAGAGCATTAGTCTTGTGGGGAGCAGGATGGTTTATCTCTGCTTTCGGCGCACTGCTGTGGCTCTAAAAGCAGCTGGAATATGCTGGGAGACAGAAAACCTCAGACAACGACTAGGAGAGCATCCTAATCATACTCGAATATACTCGCGATGAACAGAATCACCGAAACACTCACCATACACTTATGATTCCCCATATGACATGCCTAGAACACACTTGACCTTTATTTTGATAGGAAAAAGACAACGTCGGAAAACATATTGTCTCCAAAAATGCGGTGTCACTCAGGTTCTATAGGTCTATATATTATATATCAGGTAGTGCAGTCTTTCTCCAGGATTCACTTAACAAAGGCATATACCAGGACCCTCCAGTCGGGGTGTCCTGGCTGGACTACCCCACGCTACCGACAGGATGGCTTCCAGACAGGGCACCCCTTAGAGGGTCCTGGTAGATGCATATCTGTGGATCTTTCTCAGCACGTGACCGTCGACGCGGCGCCGAACTCAGGCGAGCCGTGCTCGGCCGGGAGCTTTGCAGCGGGCAGCCAGATGACCAGCTGTGAGAAGTGCCCGCAAGGTCCAAGAATTCGCGGGTGAAGCTACTAGCAGCTCCTGAGCTACTAGGTTGAAGGCCATCGCTATTATTCGAAGCTACTAGAAAGCTCTCTATAAGACATCCTTCCGGGTGAAGGGGAAGGCTACTAGTAGCAAATAGTCAAATAGCTACTGATAGCAAGGTGCATCGCTACGAATGTAGCTCCTGGCATGACCTGTTGAGGCAAAGTACGAGACGGGTGGTTTGTTGGATGGACAAATACCTCTTCAGGCGGGGGTCTATAAACCACCCGACCTGGGTGGTGCTGGGTATGCTGCAAATTCATGGATTCATCACTGCCCCCTTCAAGGTCAACAGCGTTTGAGAATTCACTCCTTCAGCGGGTCAACATGGCTACGTCTCCGAAAAAAGAAAAACACACTCCGCTCGCGCACCTCCGCGCGCGGTCTCGCAGGCCAGTACCAAGATCGTCAGGGTGCCCGCAGTTGCGAACCCTGCGCAGAGGGGCGCACCACCTTGGCCGGGGCCAAGAACGTCACCGAGTGCCTTTGCAAGGAGCGGCAGACTGCGGCAGAGGGCGGCAGGGGCGGTGTTGGGTCCCAGGTGAAAGGGCCTTAGTTTTGGCTGGTGATGATTTTGATTTATGAGATTTTATGAGCGTTTACGTACCTTGTTTGAGGATTCTTCTTTGGAGGGAATCAGATGTATAATACATTTAATGTGTGCTTTTAGGATCTTTTGGGGTTAGTGCTGGACAGCAGATCAGAAGATGTGCAGTGTCCCACTTTCTCCCCGGCAGGTACTGCCAGTACTACGTGCCCCTCAGCCGTACGGTACACATCGGGCTCGTCCTCGTGCCGTACTCCCCACCCTCCACTCGAAAACATCGGAACGCATCGAAACCTGTCGACCCGAACAAAGTCCAATTCGACGATATGTCCATCAAAACTACCGAAGGCTTGGCCGGCAAGTCGACTGAGGCACAACCGGGATAGAAGAAACCATCAAAAGGACCATGTTCAACATCGTCGACTGACTGAGCTCCCAGGGTCAAGCACCAGATCTTGTGATGTGGGGAGTTTGCTTTGGTGGTCGTACCTCCTGAGAAGGTACGGGGAGACAGAGTTGAGAAGGTACCATCCCAACAACCGAACTGCAGGTGGGTCGCAGGATGTAGTAGGTAGGCCAGGAGGTTCAGGGTTGGACAAATCATCAGCTCCAAATCTCAGACAAAACTATCAGGTGAACTCTGGCAGGGCATCCCAATGGATGCACAAGGCCCTCACTAGCTTAGTTTCTTTCTGAAAACACATAATCAAAATTGTTGGATCCAACAATCAGCAATGGTCATTCCTCCTTTTGCCACAAAACAGGTTTCTTTTGTTGGGACTCGTTTGGCCCGGCATGTCCTTCAAGCAATCGCAAGAGAGACTCGCTTGGCCCGCTCGACCGCGAGGAGGAGACTTACTTGTACCGCTCGACCGAGGCGGGCGCTGGGGTTGGATGGTGGCGATTGGGTTGTTGGGGTTTCAGAGGGATGTGTAACGCGGGGAGCTCCTTGGATTCGGGTTGGCCTCATTTTTTTTGCTTTTATGTTACATCATTTTTTGCCCAGCACGTGTTCTTTTTCTTTTTTCATTGCTTGTTTTCGCTCGTTCAAGCTGGGACAAGCACCTTGTGGGACTGAAAAAAGAGATATGTCAGAGATGAGGCAGTGAACTCACCTCACCTCAGCGGGTTAGATGGGCCAGGCAAGCAAAGAAGCAAGTCAACATGAAGGGGGTTCTGTTGAATCTCTGCGAAATACCATGAATCTGACAATCCTTTGTTGTTCAAGCTTTGGGCAGGGTTAGTTTTTTCCCAACTTGCTTTTTGCAGGTGGTGTTCAACTTGCAATATCATTGTTCAATGCAACTTCCGGTCATCCACACAAGTTCCGGTCAGCAATCAAAAGATGCAGAACACTGCAAATCTTAACCAGAGCTACAATCACCACCTTGAAAGTTAAACAACCAGAAACACCATGTTGTTCACTGGCAATAATCAGTTCTTATCAGATCCTTACGCCAAAGTGCTATAGCGAAGCGTTGCCATAGAAACACTCCCTGGAACAATCATGCATGGTTTTCGCGAAGTTCATGATTTCAAGGTCTCTTCATCCTACAGGACCATTCTTCCCCATCCGCTTCCGCTTCACCAGCGGAGATGATCCCACCCTCCGCCGCATGGACTCCTCGTCCGACCTCCCTGGTCTCCTCCGCCCCTTCGTCCGCCGGGTCTCCGCCGGTCTCAGGAGACCTGGAACGCCACGTGCTCGTCCTGCATCCGGGGCCTCGTGTGCCAGGGCGCCTTCGTGGGGCAACTGCCGGGCTATTGGGCGGAGGACACAGGCGAAGACGACGACGGCGGACGGCGGACGAGAGGACGCGAAGAACGGGGGATGAGGATGTTCTTTTGAGTTCTTGTTTGGGGGGAGGGCTCCAGGGAGGCTGAAGAATGATCAGGAATGCAGCTTTTTGCAACTGATGTTCTGGATCCAAAGACAATCCTGTGAATCCTGCGCAAGGGTTTCTCTCAGGTGTTCGTGACACGGGGCATCCCTATACCATGGCGGCCCGGCCCAGCGGCCTGGGTTGTCCATGGGGTCCAACGGTCTCCAAACCATTCACCGCGTGACGGCTCGATCGATGTCGGACGATCCGATGCCGGAACTTCGGAACCCATGAGATCGATGATCATCGATGTAAATCAATGATGAACTACTAGCGTCCTCCAACCGACTTCACAGGTCTCCAGCATGGAGGGTTGGGAAGGGCCAAAATAGGTCTGCAGCTTGGTGACCTGTTCGGAGGATGCTGGCCATGAAATCATCCAGATCTATTCATCAATCCCGATCCAATTGGAAGAGAGAAAAGCGAAGGACTTTCCTTCCCAAAGTCCGCGTGTGTCGTGCGATCATCGACGTCTCAAATCTTGAGTTCGACAGACCCAACGTGCATTGGACAGATTTTTGATGATGAACCCCATGCGAAGTGTATGACACATGTTGCGGGCGGGGAGACGGATGCCACGGCGCTATTTGTTTTTTCTGCGGGCCGCGTTTTCAAGCATTCGCCGATGATGATGATGATGATGATGATGATGATGCCATGAAGAATGCCAGAAGTCCTTCTTCTTTCAGGATCAGCTGACTGGAATGTTCATTCCGGTTTCCTCATGTCCCAAATACTCTCTTCCACCATGTGTGTGAGAGTTTACACTATAATCTGGTTCAAACATGATAATGCCCGAATGTGAGCAACCTCACACCAACACGAGCGTTTCCACCCGGGTTTTCCAATTCAAAAATGACACCGACCCAGTGATATAGCCGCTCTCCAAGATCCTTCTCTTGCCGCCAAGCACCTCTGATTGATGCCCAGCTCATCCCAGCTCTCCTCGGTCCGTTTCGGAGGCAGCGACTTCTCGGTCTTCGAGTGCCGCGACCAGCTGCAATGCCCGGGCGGAGCCATCGGCACCTGCGCGCCGGGACGGGTGGGCCGCGCTTGCGGAAGCTGTGCCTTCGGCCAAGTGGGTCGGTTGTGGTCGGGTCGGACCACTAAGGCGTGAGCTGAGAGATGCTGAGATTGAAGAGATCTAGGAAAGAGGTCGGATGAAAGAAGTGGTGGGCATTGAACGTTTGGAGCTGTTGGTGATAGCTGGGGATCTATAATTAGGAGATATTAGGAGTTGGTGATGGAGTTGGTTCTTTCTTTGTTGTGATGTGATTGGCAGCGGAGAAGGTGCACACGTCCTGCCCTACATCCGTGGGATTTGGAGATTCCAGGCAGATGAGGGTCCAGTCTGCTTCACAGTAGGATGACACAACCCGCCCAGTTTTGTGATGCATACCCTGGATCTGAGGATGTTGCTGTTTTTTGTCACCCTAGGCTCCAGTCGTACCTCAGGTTCGGTATGACTGGACCCTCCTGGCACTCACCCCAGTCCCACCATCTTAGAAGGTGCGACTGACGCCCTATAGGGTGCATTATATCACCAGGCAGTCGCTTCAGCCTTGGAAGCACCGAACCACCGTCCTAAGGCGCCGAAGGCTTGGCTCCGAAGGAGGATGGAACTTGCTCGATGCTCGGAAGTGGACGGGGTGCCAGGAGCGCAGGCGGAGAGGACGGCAGGATTGGTCAGCTTGGTTCCGCTGTCCTAAGGCGCAAGGTGGTTTTTAAGGAGGAGGTGCCAGGAGCTCCCCAAAAATGCGTGACAGACGTGTGATGTGTTCTTCACATATAAATATCGGAAGCGTTGATCATGCCAAAGCGAGGATCACCACATAGATCATCTGAATATATCTGAATCTTGTGATGGGAATGGTGACAAGTCTGGCTTCGGCGCATCGAGCAGCTGATTCTGAGTCTTTGGAAAGTCCTCCACTGAGAATCAGCTCATTGTCCCTGTATTGTCCCCTGTGTTTTTTCTTAAGGATTTGTTCCTGTGGAGACCTTTTTTGACCCAAACGCGCACCCCAACCATCGGTCCTCTCGCGACGAGGAAGTGCGGTGGCCAGGCCTATTGGGGCATCATGTTGCTTGACTGTGCGTACGAGTACGGCGTACTCGACCAGAGAGTCACTCGTGTACGTCCTTTTGATGAGTTCGATCGGACTTATCTCAATTTCAAGGACTAAAGGGTACTAAAGGACAGCCAAGGTTGGACAGGCAAGATTTCTTACATGCACCACTAAAGGGTGAACCTCCGGGTTCAGCCAAGGTTGGTGGTCTTGGTCACCTTTGGCGTGATTCCGCTGGTGGTGGTCTTCGGCATCTTTATGACACGGCTGAAGCGGACCGCCTTGAGTATCTTCATGGTGACTCGGCGCTTCAGCGGGACGATCCCCTTCCGTTCTGTTCTGTGCGGCGAGGCGAAGACATGCCCCAAAACGCGCCGTGCAGCGTAGCGCTGCTGCTAGCAAGAATTCGTGAATTCCCCGACAGGTTGCGACAGTTTGAGCAAGGACACTTGGAGACCGGTGACAGGGTGGTTTTTAGAACACCTCCAGGTTTGGAGGACCCCCAAAGCATTGAGCCCGTTGAGCCCGTTGAGCCCGCACAGCTCGAACCCCCCCCCCCAGCCCTCGCACACTCGCTCCAATCCAGCGGCTACAGAGACGTGGGGAAGCCTCGTCCATGCGAGGTGAGCATTATCTTTGGGCAGATCGTCGTGTGTTTGCAGGCGCTCGGTCTGAGGGACCGGGTCTGACGTGGTGAAGGAGGGACCTGGTCTGAGGGAACGCATCGGTCCGGGAGATCAGCTGCCTAGGACCGTAGGAGTATCGTTGTTCATCCTATAAAGAATCGGGTAGTTCGACTAAGGGCTTCTTTTTTCTTGAATGTTTGGGTGGTGGTGTCAGAGATCTTGATTCTCACTCTTTACTAGTCTTTACATGTCTTTACTGTTGAGATGAAATTGAACCTACTAGTATGTTGTGTTCGGTTTGGCTGAAAACACCAAGTAGATCCTTCCAGATTTAGTTCAAATATGTGAGTTCAAATACATTCAAATAATATTGAGATTGAGATTCTTCCAACATTTAGATTCCTAACTATTGAGTTCAATTATGTTCAAATAGGTTTATCCTTCCAGACGCTCGCCCATTTGGAGCTGAACATGGTGAGAACTTTCTGAGTTGTTGACCCATCACCAGTGGCATGAGCATCTCAAATACTCAAGGGCCGAGGCCAATGGAGATCCACAAGCAATCTAGTCCTAGAATGGTGACCCTTGAATGCTCCAGGTAGGATGTTGTATGCTGTTTTCGAGCAGTAAAAACCGAATCAAACACGATCCATGTACAATAATATGCCTGGAATCATTGCCATTCAGATGCATCAAGGGCTCCATGAAGGGAACATGTGTGATTGACCGGTCTGTTTGACTCCGTGAGTCATCAGTGAGTCATCATGTCTTTGACATGTAGAACCCTGGGAAACGTCCTGAAACACAGGAAAGGAAGAAACCCTGTTTGCTCCGCCGGTCTTTTTGGCGCTCGCTGCGAGTCCTTGGATGCGATTTATCAGCTGGACATCACTTGGATCGATCCTGCCAAGGCTCAACGTCCGATGATCCGTTGGCTCAACAGGAAGGATTTTGAATCCCGAACCGTCCAGGGGGCCGTTGCCTGGGTGGCCTCCGTATTGCAATACCCATTTCTCCATACTAAGACATCAAAGCACTGGAGAACTAGTTCGTTACTAAGTGAAGTACGTGGAACTCATGCTCCTTTGGTTGAAGAGGGGTCGAAACTCTTGACACACATCACTTGCATGACCGAGAATCGGCTCAACATCTCGAGGCATCGGTTCAGAAGGGCGGAATGCTTCGGTTCAGGTGGTGCAATTATGGACCCCCGTCTGTCAACGTCGTGGGTTCGATGTGCCATCGAACCACTGAATCGCCCTTCGCCACGAAAGACACCGAGACGTTCGCCTCTCGCATCGTTCCCAGAGCTTGAGACTCGCTCCGACAGGCGATCTTGAACTCTTTGGCTATCTTCAACCTGGATTTGGACTTGTCGTGCCTGCTTCCACCCCAAGATTATTTGTTGCTTGGGACAAGCAGAAGAGAGGATTGGAGAGGATTCATCATGCGTGTGGCAAACTTCATAGAAGTCAACAAGACTGCCTACTGCCAAGTGGCCAGTTGACTTCAATATTTTTTGTGGGTGAAGACCTTACACCGAGTGGCTGAGCTTCTCCGGAAAAAAAACAGACACACAATCACCAGATGCCCTCAAATGAAACGCAAGCAAACTACGCAAACATTTCTGCAAGAGTAGCTGTATCGTAGCTATGCCCCAAATGGATCAGCTATGGTCCAGCCAAACTGATCTGCAACACCTGGGAACAAAGAAATGGGTCACTTCTCAACTTGATGCAGGTCACTGAAGAGGGCGCCCTCCAGTTTCATCACCGACGTCCAGAAACGACGTCGACCGAAACGGTCCATGCGGCGATCTCCTCGGTCCGAACCCGGCGGAGACGGATCCCGGGTGGAAGACAGTGACCTCACGACTGGACCGGAGTCCGTGACCGGACCACCCAGGACATCAACTTCGACAGGGAAGATCATCAGGGATGGATCATGGCACAATGGGGTATATCCATATTTATCCAACGGACTAGTGTCCAGCAGATTGGGTATATCCATATTTATCCAACGGACTAGTGTCCAGCAGATTGGGTATACCCATATTTATCCAACGGACTAGTGTCCAGCAGATTGGGTATATCCATATTTATCCAACGGACTAGTGACCAGCAGATTGGGTATATCCATATTTATCCAACGGACTAGTGTCCAGCAGATTGGGTATATCCATATTTATCCAACGGACTAGTGTCCAGCAGATTGGGTATATCCATATTTATCCAACGGACTAGTGTCCAGCAGATTGGGTATATCAATATTTATCCAACGGACTAGTGTCCAGCAGATTGGGTATATCCATATTTATCCAACGGACTAGTGTCCAGCAGATTGGGTATATCCATATTTATCCAACGGACTAGTGTCCAGCAGATTGGGTATATCATTATTTATCCAACGGACTAGTGTCCAGCAGATTGGGTATATCAATATTTATCCAACGGACTAGTGTCCAGCAGATTGGGTATATCAATATTTATCCAACGGACTAGTGTCCAGCAGATTTCGGACTGCCATTCTGTGCTGCCCCCACCCCCCAACTCCACCCCAACTGGTCGGCCAAAGATGGCAGTCTCATGCAGTGTTTGGGCTGAAACGTCATTGTCTCATCCAAGTTCAGTGCCCAGTTCGGCTCAATGTCCTGCACGACCCCTTCGCCGGTCTCTCTGTTTTTTCCATGACAGCGGAGTGGGTGCAACAAAAAGTCCAGTCAACACGGCCTGGTGGAGGCCATTTGCCCCCCTTTGTGTCATGAAGAATGTTTGTCCGGACTATCAAACTGGTTCAAACGTTGGATCCTTCCTTTCGATCCTTCAAGATCGCATAGAACAAGCCGCCTCCTTAGCCGCGAGGTTGCAATACGTGGTGCAGCTGGTGACATATCCCACGGTCGTTTTAGTGACGTTCCTCATTTGGTGGGTGCTCCACTGTCGGGGCAGGCGAGGTGGCCCGTGTGTTGAGACGAGGTTTGGCACATCCTGTCACAGGTCCAGTGAGACCCGGCAGGAACCTGGTCCTTGACCTGACAGATTGTAGTGCTTTTGTCCGACAAAAACTGCAGCAAAAGGATGTATAATGAGGTCTTTGACCTGCAGGTGTCCGTGTACTTCCCTCCATGATTGGGCGGGGATCTGGGCTCCTAAACCAAGCCTTCCAGCCTTTCCACTGGAGCAGGGCCTGGCTGCAAGGTGTCGAGTTGACACAAGCCACTTTGAGTGTATACCTGCATGGAACTCGTGCTTTCAAGATAGCCTCCGGTGAGGTAAGGCAACTGTGATTGAAGAGCAGACTGTTGATACACCAATTCCCAGCAGAGCCGCATTGGTCTAATGCCGACTGCATCAAGTCGGACGACTGGCGTCCGACTGTGTCCGCACGTTCTTCGAAAAGCAGTTCTCGTCGATCTCGTTTCACGCGGAGAGGAAACGATGTTCCAAAAATCCTGACAGTGGGAACCATATGATGGGTCTGTAGAAACATAGGGAAACCTCCCAATTCGACCCCCTGGAAGAAGGAACATCGATCCATTTTGTCAAGGGGGTCTCCCTATGGAAGAACAAATCCATATGCTTTCTCAGAAGCTTTGCCTAGGCAGCACTTCGAGAAGCGGCTGCTTCTTGAGAAGCGTTTTGCAGAATGACCCATCTGAGAGTAAATGCATGCCCAGTTGTGGTTGAAAGACAACATCCTTTTGTGCATACTGACTGCGAGAAACAAGCCCATGAAGAGCCAAAAATGAAGAAAAGGTAACCTTTCCTCTGAGGTCATGAGCCCATTTGTAATTGTAGCACATGACCTCAGAATTCTTTGGGTTTGGGGGAAGCACTTGTGCTGCAGAACCCATATGTACGTGGACACCCGGACCTAGACACATCCAGCTTTCACGGGCGACGAAGCATTCGCAGGAGAGTGAGCTTCAACACCTTGGTCAACGTCACTGCGAGGAATTTAAGTGGAGAGCTGCTGAGATTGGAACACAGACACACACACACATATATTATTATATACACATGACATAATAGGAGACTTAATTATATAGAAGTTCAGAGTGACTGGTCATTAACAGGAACTCATTATTTTGGGAATCTTGGGTTGGTCTCAACAGATGAGAGCACGAGCAGCCACGAGCACAGACAGAGATTGGTTCTGTTGATTTCAATATCTTGCACTAGTTGGATTCTCCAAGGACCAACATATTCTCAGGAGTTGCAGCATGTATTTCATCAACAGTACAGTCTCTCTCTCTATATATATAGATAGAGAGTATTATATAATATATAGTCTAGTGTCAGTGTGCTTTTTTGTGTGGGTACACCAACGGAGGAGGAGTGTGAGCATTCAGACCCCAGATCCAAACGAAGCGGAAAAGATGCCAAGCTCTGTTTTGAGTGCGGCTCGCCAGATCATCGTGCCCGAGACTGCCCACTTGCCACAGATAAAGGCAAGGGCAAGGGAAAGGGCCAATACCAGAGCCAGAGTCTATGGCAGGGAAACTGGAGCCAAGGATGGTCTGACCGATCGTGGCAGAGCTCTTCATCGGGATCGTGGTGGCATCGACCTGAGCAGAATCGCTCCGGATCCTGGCGGGAGGAGCCTTCGTCATCCTCTTCCAGCTCGAATTGGTGGGCCGCGTGCTGAGCGGACGTGCGCTCACGGCGACCAGTTCAGGGAGACTACTATGGCTGGTGGAACCTGTAGTTGAGCAGCTCCGAGTGCCGAGAGGAGAGAAAGATCATCGCAGGGAGTTGCCCACTTGCCAAGCGGACTGGAGGGCACGCCGTGAATCAATTCGTTGGATTCGTTGGCTTGACTTCCAGATGGTTTGCTTGTACGAGCGGGAACGCTCTGCCGTATATCTCCCCAGTGTGGCATTTGCATTTTTATTCGATGTCTGTGGCTGGCTATAGTTTGGCTCCTTTTCACTGGAATGCCATGGTACGAGTTCCCGATATGAGAGCGTGCCGGCAGGCATTGCCGCATTCATCCTTCTTTCTTTGAAAGCTTCGTTGCATTATGACAACTTGAAGTGGAGGCATTTCAAGCGAAGACGTGAAACAGATTTGTGCGTTTTGTCCGATCCTCACGTGCTGGCACTCTTGAAGCACAAGCATTACGGACATCCATTTGCCTTTCGCATGCATTCGGTTGAGGGTTGTAGAGCGGCTAGATTCTTATCGCTGCCTGAGGTTGGTACAATGTGGTGCGTCTTCCTCTTCGGCGCGCCGTGGCCAAGCCACTCCGCTCCGCGGGGGTGTATTTTTGTGCACTACATTGTACGCTACTGTCTATATTCAACCTACCTCAGACTTATGGCTCAAGTGAGTAAAGGTGTCTCATAAGGCTGTTTGCCTATAAACATAACATAAATCATAACACATCAGACCCGAAAAGAGACACAGTTGCAAACTTGGCAAATGTTTACGCATACCTGACGCATACCTTGGCGGTCCATAGTTCTTCCGTAGCCATTTTGGCTCAAGCCTCGTGCTTTCCTTCCCTCATCCTTTGTCCTGTGTTGTCCTCCTTCTGTCCTCCTGTGGTCTTTCTGTTGTCCCGCTGCTGTTCTGTTTGCGTAGTTTTCTGCGGCAGGGGCCCACTGGCTGTTTGGAGTCTATGCTGATATAATTTTGTCACTGTTCAAAGGGTTAACCTGACTGTTCTCTTCTTTGATCATGGACGCTCCTTCTAAAAGTGAAAGAGCTTCAAGTGTGTACGCTCTTCTTTTGATCTACATGGTATTTAGACACTAAGGTACAACTCGAGTTGCGAAGCTTGATGCGGTCGCCTACTTGGTGCATTCCAAAAACACCACTCCCAGATTATCCATGGGAACGGACTACATGGTGGAATATACATGCACCATGGAATATATCATTGGATATTACTGGAATATATCAACCTTTCCATGGATGGTTTTGGGCTGATATCCACCTGTGCTTTCTAGCCGGTCTTTGCCGTGAGCGTTTGCGAATGCGCAAGCGCGCTGACGCACACGCTGAGGTGCACGGGCTCTTGTTGGTGGCAATGCTCACGGCCATGTCCTTGGCCATTACACGGCCGCTGCAATGCCAGCGGAACCCCAACGCGCGGCTTGGTCAGAGTGGTAGTAAGTAGTAGGGGCCATTGTCAGGGAACAGTGTTGGGGATGGATCTATTGGCATTGCAACATTTTCAAGAGGTATCCCAAAATATCCATGTATGGAATATTGGCCTGCATTACGGAGGTTTTAAGATGTTTCAACGGTCATGTATCGTATAGACAAATACTCCAATCATGGCCATTAGGTGGCCCCTATCGGTTTGGAAGTTTGCCTAAAACCACTCACTCAACCCACCGAAGACTGATTTGATTAGAGGATTGGACACGGGATTGGTGTACAGGTAGTCCCTGAGTTCTGTTGATAGGGAAACTTTTGCACCGGACCGGCTGGTGGACCGCGCTGAACATCGATGAACTGTGGTTTCAAAGGTAAACCATGGTGCTAGCACCCCAAGATAAGATGCCGTATTCGACAAATGGGTGTCCATACAAAAATACAGTTTTTGGTGGGATTGTGCCATATATATACTTTCAATCCGCTACATCGACAGAAGGATCTAGTGACTCCCAAATACAACATCGACAGCTAATCTGCAAGTAAATTGACCTTGGACACCTGCTGAAACCTCGACATCTCCACCGTTCCCCTGCAGCTGCTCGGATCGGATGCGCGGCGCTCGGGGCGTGCCGTCGCGTGCTCGGATCGGATCGAGCTAGGCTCTTCACCATCACTTCCCGGCCTCATGTGATTTGTTGGCAGAGTGAGGAACATCAGGCAGACGGGACAGGGCGGTGGAAGCGTGACAGGGCGGTGGAAACGGGCGGAATTCTACTGAGCTGAAACGTCAGTCAGTGTCGATAGCCGTACTGGATCACTTGCGGGTGTGGATAGCCCCCAAAGAAGCGACGACTTGAGCCTTCTACAAGTGGCATGAGTCAGAAAGGGCACAAGAAGAGTTGGAGGAACACAAGCATTGCCCAGCACCAAACTCTACCTAAAAACTGTCTGTCATTTTGCGTAAGTCAAATGCCCTCTAAAGAGCAACATGGGAATCATTCTGAGGAACATGTTGTATCTATAGGTCTCCACGGGAGGGTACAGCGACTGTGAAAGAAGAGTTCGTTGCTCTCTGAAAAGATCTGTGTTCATCGTACTGGTTTTCGAAGTGTAGAGCCTTGGCCTAAAGACCCAAGTTTGAGAACATCCCAGGATTGACTATATGCCGCACCAAGCTTACTTTACATCTCATCCTTTGTTCAACTGAAGTCCTTATGTTCCTTTGGTGTGTAATTGGAGAAAGCATCACGATATGAACATTTGAAGAGACCGTACTGCTGAAGCCCAATCCTCCATCCTCTTCATCCCAAGAAAACATGTCATCGTTATCTCCATGTCATCCCCTACTCGACTTCTGGGCGAAGCTGCGGCTTTCGGGTTTGTTCGCGAAAGGGACGCCGCCGTGGAGTCCAGGCGCTGGTGGCCTTGGCAGCCATAGGGATCCTGGCATATCCGGTGACGATCCTGGGGGTGATTATCTACCTCACCAGGATGCCGGATCCGTGAAGCCGTGACGGCGGTCGTTTTGCAAGACTCGTCCAAGCCTCGGTCCAAGCCTCGGTGTACCCTTTTGATTGGGAACTCCTTGTTTCTTTCATGGTTTAAACGTGTTGACAGCATGGTGATGCATGGTGATACATGGATCCTCCGTGCAGGATGCGAAAGGATCATCAAAACACACGTTTGGCTTTGACCTATTTATATTTAGTATCCAGATGAGGCTAAGTGAGGGAAGGCCGAGCGCCGAATGGGGCTGGTTTGCTCTGAGTGAGGCAGTTGTTTTATTCTGATTTCGGCCAGGATAGACTATAGTACTGATAGCCAAAAGTCAGGCTACCAAGTAGACTTCTCCCACCAGCTCTATTTATCCCTGCTCCAGAAATTACCTCTTCTTGGGTGGGGCAGACAGACACACGAAAAAAAGGACAGGACCGCAGACAGACGCAGAAGATCACCTGCTCTCCTCAGACCCATCACACCGGCATGCCATCGTTGGTGTCGTTGCCGTTGTCGGCAGGAAGTATCCCATTTGGTTACGCTCCGGACATGGCTTGGAGGTCATGGAACGGCTCCTTGGATGAACCAAAGACGGGCTTCGACTTCGGGATCGAAGTCGACGCAGAAAAAGCCTTGTGGAGGAACTGCTGACGCTGCTGGGAAGTGTGGTCTTGTGTGTGAAGGTTTCGGGAGGTTCATGTGAAAAGTGCTGTTGAGCTTGGATAGTCAGACAGTCATGGCAAAAACAAGTATATAGGTAGAACTGGATAGAGCATGAGAGCTGCTCCCCTGCAGGACCCCAAAACCACTGGGTTGGTATGGGGAAAATGGTCAAGACCACGGGTCAGTTCTCAGCTAGGTTCTATGTTAGCTTGCGGGGGGGATACGGCAATTCACCAAAATAAAGTTGGGAACATGCGGATGGTGGACAACGTTCAATCTTGTCTCTGAGGTCTGTTTTGTCAGTTGATGGAACCTTCGGATGGGAATAGATTGGCAGCCAAGCCTTTTCGGAAGATTCTCCACAAGGTGATCCGTTTCAAGGCCTCAACGCCTCACCAGGACACTCTTTCTTTTGAGGCGGTTGGCCCCCGTCTCTGTGGCACGTTTTGGGTCTGTGGCACGTTTTGGGTTCAAAAGACGGCCGAGAGCGAGATGTTGTAGAATGGGATTCGTGAATCGACGTGTCTAAAGAATCCAAGACCCAAATAAGTATCTTCCTCCCCAGCCGTAGTAGAAAAAAATTGGTCCACATCATAGGCCATACATTTCCGCATCGGGGGCGGGTACCGCATCAACCAGCTTCCCCCTGTCAACCAGCTTGCCCCCTCAGCCACCGATCAACACCCCTCAACCGATCCCAGTCAACACCGGCTCAACCGATCCGTTGGCGAGGTACCGCTTCCTCTTTGCACGCTTTCGGCCTGAAAGAAGCTCCGGTGGACGGTTTTTTTAGACGGTTGGCATTCGTTTTGGAAAAGGGGCGGAAGAGGAGACATGATGTCGTTGAACTCATTCCAGGTCCAGTTGGGCGGAATGTCCATCCAGACTCCATCATTGGACACCACTTCTGGAGTTTTGGACTCTGCTTTTCGCAAGGGTTTGGAGCCGAACCAAGCCTTCACCGGCTGAGGAGCCTTGATTCTTGGGGCCAGATCTGGATGTGTATTAAAATAGACCTTCCCAAGACTCCCTGGCAAGAAAGAACATAGACCAACACCCCATTGGTGGGGGGTGATCTCCCCATTACACACACCCATCATGGTCCTGGCAGTTTTTTGCCTATACTTGTTGGGAGATTCTACCACGACCCGTCGCTGCCCGCGTTGCACGCGCAGAACACGTGAGCGAGAGATCGTGAGTCAGTGAGGATACTACTACGGCCTGATCTTGTCCGTGCACAACCTGCTGGTGGCCCTGATCCCTGCAGCTCTGGTCTCCTTTCCGGCACTCCAGGCAGGGCGAGAAGCCGCCTCACGCTCGCTTCGCGAAAGCCTCCGGAACCTTGGAAACCTTGATGGCTCAACTTGAGTCCTGAAAAAACCCGAGGAAAACCGCGTTTTCAGGGTGCTTTTGTTCCATGTTCTTGAAGTGATCTATTTAGAACTTGAAGCAGTTGCAGAGCTACAGCCCAGGAACACTGCTTCATGTCCATTTCCATACCTAGATCTTCAGTCCGGTACTTTTACAGGGTCCGGCGCCGGACTTCCAACTCCGGCGTTTTTCTGGATTTGGTCCGGCGCTTTTCCAAGTCACTTTATGTGTATTCTCAAGGCTTTGCATTCCTTTGTGGTCTGCATTTCTTTGAAGGTAAACCCACTACTGATGCAATGATTTTGTTTGCAAAGTGTGCTCGTTTGCCTGTTGCGCTGTTTTCTCATTCCATCGGTTCAGCATGGTTCACACTGGATCAAATAGATCCGTTTAGGTGATCTTCTAAATGAAATCGGATGAAGCCGGTACAGTGCGATGCACCTGTTGAAAGACCCAAGTGGGCGTACCAAGCTGGGCAAAAATGTACTCCCATTGTTTCAGGATGTCGGGGCGCTGGGATATAGTTCTAGCTGCGCAAGTTTGCAGAGCCTGCCGGACAAGTTTTGGGCTGTGGAACATGTGTTGTTCAGAATCTCAATGTTTTGCAGAGAGTTGTCAAAAAATGGCACGTCGTAACTCCGGCGTAATTTCCCGTAATTCCGGCGTAATTTCCCGTAACTCCGGCGTAATTTCCCGTAACTCCGACGTATTTTTTTGGACTGAGTCTTCTGCAGGCTTTGGCTTTGACTTTGACAAGTTTTTCAAAGAAGAGTTTTGACAGGGGCCACGAGTTCTGCTACTTTATTTGGGGGGCCGTCCTGAGGCAAGCTTTAAAGAAACATTAAGAAGCATAAGAATCATGGAGAGCAACCCACTTTGTAAAAAAAACACTTTAGAGACACGGTTGCAGAGAAAGATGAGTTCATTGCCACATGCTCCTTGGTTTCTTCTTGGAAGTCTTTGCTTGGGCACAAGTTGCTTATGTTTTGTATGGTTCTGCTCTTAGGCCATTCGGAAGATGGGCGAGGGCAATGGGAACGGAAAGGTTCGAGTGTGGCTCCAGAAGAACTGCTCGCGGCGCAAAGGCAATTTCCTTGTGTATGATCCAACCTTTTATCATCTCTGTTTTTCAGAATCTCGGATCCGGATGTTTTTTCAGGTCTCCGGCGTTTTTTCGGAATCCGGCGGAAAATTTTGCCGGATTGAGGTCCGGCACTTTTTTCCGCCCAAAGGAGGATCCAGGTATTATACCCTGGGAGTCCGGGACTATTCTTCAAATGGTCTTTCGATAGTCGAACTAGGGCTTCTATGTAATAAATACATCAACGCTGAACGGTCGGGTGCCTTCTTGCTACATTGACCCATCGCTGAACGCCTCGCCGCCTTCGACATCTGAGGTCGGCATCATGGGCCTGGTGATTTGTGCGAAGCTCGTCACTTGGAACGTGCGACGTTCCGGCATGGGGCGTTTTTTCGACGGGGACGCGACGGCATGCTCCTGGTGGTTGCTTAGGAGGAACTGTTCCTGTTGGGGTGGTGGAAGTTGGGGTCGGCAGAACTTCCAAGGAGTGTTTGGAAGGTAGAGAGCGGTTTTGGGGGGTGACTTGGGGGCGAAGACGCAGCGCCTGGGGGAGGGTTGGACGTTGGATTGGAAGTGGAGCAAAGTAATTATTCCATGACATATTTATTACCATGTTATAACCGATCTACATCATTATAGGATTCTTTAGTTCTTTGATGTTGTTGGTTTGTCGGTGTTCTCGGTGTTCTGTTGCATCCTTCTGTTTGGAAGAGGACTTTTCACACCGGATCCCAAACTGCCTGTTGAGTAGGGCCTGATGATGTCCTTGGCTCTCAATCTCTCAGCTCGTTCAGATGCCTCGAGCCCCAGGCATGACCCCTGTTTGAGGAGCCATTTGGCACTGAGATCAAGCCTGGTGTCTCTAGTTGGGTACAGTCAACAGGTGTTTGCAAACGCACAGATCAGGTCCTTCACCTGAAAAGACCAGGTCCTCTTAGCCTTTTGGTTTTGCTGCACTTCTCCGGTTTGACCGCCGGGCTTCGCCGAAGCGGCTTGACCGGACTCGAGTGTGTGACAGCCACCGAGGTGGTGCAGGGGCTCCTGTGGCCTTGGAAGATCGACTTAGCCAATTACAATGACTCTCAGCTGAAGCTGAGACGACTGGGGACTCAGGGTCGACTTGAGGGTTCCTCAAGGAACACCTGGTTTTTTTTTCATACGGAATTAGCGACCGGGGGTACAACAAGGAGCTGCTTTTTGGTGAAGGGTCTGCTGAGACGACCGGGGTTCCTCAAATCAACGAAATCATGCGGAATTGGCTTGGGGGGTACAAGTGGGTAGAGCTGCTTTTTGGTGAAGGGTCACAGGAGTGCGATGAGAAGGATGAGAGCACCTCTATGTTTTAAGTCGAATTGGAGGAGTTTTGCTATTTCTGGTATGTGCCAAAGGTCCCTTCGACGTTCGCCATCAATGCTCCTTCATGATGGTGCAAATCCCTACACCTCCAACTACCTGAGGCGTGGTCCCAGACACATCCAGACACTCCATGGGACTGGAACCATGTTCTCCAGTAGTATCGCCAGTCCCATCTCACGCTTAGGCTGCAGAACATGCTCCCCCGACCCACGTCCGACGCTCCACTGGCTCGCCGAACGGATCAGGACTTGTCCTTATCCGCGGGTCTTCTCATGCTCCTCTTGTTGGCCTCACCGCTGATGAATATCCGGGAGGAGAAGCCACCAGGTGGCAGAAAGACGTGCTGATCGTCTTATCGTTCCGTCCTACGGTCCCTTCGCAGCCACGGTCGCATGGTCAAACATGGTCAAGAATGTAAAGTGATTTTTGTTCTTGAAGCTGCAGTTGTCATGGTCGGTATCATTCTGATTGGTGTTCCTGCTTTTTGTTTGTGTGCAAATTGAATTCTGGTGCTGGCGTGTGGACACAGCAATGGCTGTTCGTGAGTCAGGCCATTGCATTAAGACAAGAAAATGGTGAATCGGGTTTCTCCATTTTCCAATATACACGTCTTTTTGTCCTCTTCAACGACACCCTAAGCTGGGGCAAGACCGTACAAACCCAGAAGCCTTCCAAATGCCGGTTACCTGCTTCCCCCGAAGTGTTCTTCCCGGCTTTCCAGCCGAGGAACTGCGAAAACGGGCCAGCAGAAGTTTTCAGATAGAGAACTAAGCTATAGACTATCCCATGGGTACCCCAGGTGAAGGGTCATATATTATATGCCAGCACCCTCCAACAGGCTGTTACTTGAGGGTTGTTGGACCCTAACAGGTTTCACTTGGTGACCTGTCGGAGGGTCCTGGTATATATATATATATATACCAGGCAAACAACCTCTCTTGCGGGTTCTTTGATTCGCCACGGCCCGGAACCTCACTCCCACGAACTGCGCGCGCGGTCGGCTGAGTCATGAGCAGTTCGTGGGCGTCTTGCTCTCCATCGTGTTGATCACGGTGCCCCTGGCTGCCCTGGGCACGGCCTTGTCCCTAGGAAGTGAAGAAAGCCGTTGGTTTGTTCTTTTGGTTGACTGAAGGGTGTGTAACCAGACATGTGTGGAATGGATATCCATGCACATATATCTCTATATATATATACACACGACTGATATATCATATACATTGACTCTGACTCAACCACCCCAAGCAGGCATACATGCCATACATGAACCCCGCCAATCAACTCAATAAGCTGCTACTGTAATCTTCCCATTTACAACATGTCCCAACCCACTCAACACAGATGAAGACCTAAATTCCTAAAACAACATAGAGCAGATAGTACTTGTTTGGCCGGGTTGTCAAACCGATGTTTATCAATTTTCTCATCGAGGGGTGTTTTCTTGGTTCAAACTGTTTGGAAAAGACGTGAAACTCCAACGCGTTGAAGACAAAGACAGGTATATAGTTCCAAATAGCCAGTGGACAGTCCGGTCGACTGGCGCAGTTGCAACCTGTTCCATGTGTGTGATTGCCACAACTTAGACATGTTCAAGACTCTTTTTGTTTCCATGTGTGTGGTGTGTTTTCAAGGGTTTTTGAACGGAGAATGATTCAAAACGATCTTTTTCGAATGATTGATGTGCCCCCAAAACAAAGCACCTTGCCAAACAGAAGCTTGTATCGGGGTGTCCAATACATGGATCCTTCGGAACCGAGCGGACGTTGAGGTCCTTAGTGTTTTTGCGCTTGCGGCCCCAGAGCAAGTACGCCGCCTTCCTTTGTCACCACAAGGCGGTTAGTAAAGGGCTAGGAGGGGGGGTGAGTCATGGATGGTGAGTCATGGAGAGCTGAATCCACAGTTGGAAATGGATGAAGTGAAGAAATGATTCCAAGAACTGATTGAATTGACTTTCACTTGAAGCACTTGTGTTGATCTTTCCATGAACTGATTGAACATGGGCGATATTTTTTGTGCTCAGGAGGAGTTCTTGAAGTGACACTCCTGACCTTTTCGGCCTCCTTTTTTCGGCCTCCGATCGCGACGCGACGATCACCGTTTCGGTCCGCACTCCTGGAGCAGCTTAAGTTGAGGCTGTTCTTACCGTAACTTACCGGCCCAAGAAGAGAAACTCGGTGATGGTTTTGGTGCAGAACACCTGGAAGTGAATGAATGGTTTTTGCAACATGGGGAGAAAAAAAACTGAAACATCGAGAGCTTCTGGGCCGCCCAGAGGTCCTTCCTAAGCAGCTTCCTAGTTTCCGAGTCCTTGGACCCCTCAAGAAATTAGCTTTTTCCAGGCTTCAGGACCTCAAAAATTCGGACCAAAAGGCTTCAGGAAGGTCCGAGTCGTTCTTCCAGAGACCTCCAGGCGGGTGCAGGGGCTTTTTGCCGCCTCTTCAAGTTGGTGGCCTCGAAGTCTCTTGCTGCTCAACACGGCTGCGAAAACGGCCACCATTTGTGGTCCTCACTGCTGAGGAGTCAAGTATAGGTTCCCAGACACTCCATGCAATGGGACCAATTAGTTTGCTTATGCCTCATTGATGGCCCCAAACCACCCCAATGTAGGTACTGGCAGGCAACAAAAACAGTCCCATTAGTCGTGTCTGGGGATATTTGAAAGCAGCGCTTACTCTTCTTTTACTTTGCCGGACGGAAGAACTGCGGCCGCAGTGACGTTGATCGGATGGTTCCTTTGGTTTTCTTCTGTCCAAGGGCTTCACTTCCGTCTTGGGTATGTGGTGGCTCGATATCATGGAATGTTTTGAGATTTTGTCGAACTGACATACAAAAGCCCATGGTCACCCTGACAAGCTTGCGCCCACTGTGATCCCCCGATGTTTATCAATATTTATCATGTTTTTCTTAATGTAAGACAGGACTGCATGATAGGCACATGATCATGAGAAGATTTCATGACCCACAAAAACCTCAATCCACAGTGATCCAGCTGCTTTTGCACTCGAAGGTATATGAAGTTGAATTTGTTCCTGGACAGCGACGAGCTGGACGACCTGGCCCGGATCTTCGACATCGTCAGCGCTGACACCAAGTGCCTGGTGGCCGTGTTGACGTCCGAGCTGCTGAAGCGTCGCTTGAGCTCCACGCGCGCGGAGCGGCCGGGACGGTGAGCCGTTGGTGCCGGGGGGTGGGACGGTGGACTGCTGGCGAGAAGGAGCAGTTAGAGAGGTAAGCAGTATTCCAGTAGCAATGCAGCACGTCCTCAGCTTCTATGACACTTTGCTTCCGGGGGGAAGTCCTTACTACACGGGGACCTGGCTTTCATAGAGATATGATATATCATGGAGAAACACCATGTTCAGAATCTCTTTTGGATGGTGTTCGTGCCAAACAAACGAGTGCTGCACCAGGTTAATTAATTCTTCATCAATATCTTCATCATTCTCATCATTTTTCATCATGAAGGCAAAAGATGTACCATCCAGGTCCAAAGCTTTGAGTCCCATCCACTATGCCCTTAGATGTGACAAGGGGCACCCCACATCTCTTCAGTTCTTTTGGCACCCATCTGCATGGAACTGCTGCTTTTTTCGCAGGGAGCCGAGCGGAGGAGGCGTGGAGCATCGTGGAGCCGTGCGGGTTTAGCAGCAGGTGGGTCGTCCGCAGTCCAAGGCATGTGGTGCGCCGGGGAGATCGTGAGCGCTCACAAGAATAAGGTGCCCATCATCCCATTGCAACTCGGAGGATGTGGTTTGCCTCGGGACACGAGGCCATCGCTCTTAGGCTGGGGGGCCGTGTGGCTAGTAGGTTGTACACTGTTCAGGTTGGAGGCCATCGCGTTTTTGAGGTTGGAGGCCATGGCTATTCGGTCACTCGGAGAACCTGGAAGTCGTTCCAGCTGGTGAGTTCACCGGTGTCGAGTTGAGTATGAAGTAACACCGACACACCCCAACCGTTCGATCGGTGTTTCCGGGCGACAAGTCCATGCCGGTGCCCAGAGATCACCATGACTGGGGTGTTTTTTTTTTTTTAATCCCCAGTTGAGCAGTTGAAGAGTAAAGCCATGACTGGAAAAGCTATTCTTCAGCGATCGTTTTTGGCATGTTTTGGCATGATTGCCGAAGGGATATTTGGAGATTGAAGCAGGGATGTGTTTCCATTGCAGCACTAGGTCACTAGGCAGTTTGTAAGCTAGGTGAAGGTGCTTAGTCCACCGGACCAAATGGCTGTGGGTCCAAACCCGGAGCCCTCACCCTGGTCTCAGATCCGTGGGATGCGCAAGGAAGCGTTCCGGTCATCCTGTTTGGTCGTTGACCTTCCTGGGTGATCCATTCGGTTCACTCAATCGCGGGAAAGACACCCAGCCGTTGCCTCGGTTTCCCACCTCCAAGCCTCACACCGTCGAACGCGCCCGCCTCAGCCACCGTCGGGTTCTGCGTCGAACGCGCCGCGTGGTGCGCCCGGCCCGAACGCGCGGCCGAGCCATCGACCGATGCAAAGAGTGTTGAAGCGGAAAAGCCTCGGAGAATCCTGAGAGAGATGGAGGAATTCCACCTGCCAGGGTCATGCTGTTTGGACCTAGAAGGGTCATCCTGGACCTGGGTGTCCTGTCTGGAAGTCCAGTCAGGATGATGCAGCTGGATATTGTATTAATTTATATTATAAATATAGTTTGGATATAGTTGGTGTTTCTTTTCTTTTCTAGTGGGATATGCTTGTTGGCCACGTGAATCCAATGAACACCCAGGGGACTTCCAGTGACTTTCAGCTGTTTCATCGACAAAACCCATGTCCCATGTCCTTCATCAACAAGTCGCTGCTTCTTTCTTTAAATGGGACATGGGGTCGCTTGGTGACTTGATTCATGTGACTTCTTGAAGATTGGGAGATTGGGAAGGATGTTTCTGCTTGCAGAACACATGTCGATCAAGATGGCAAGAGGTCGCTGATGACATAACACGACCTTGGCACAGGGTGTGACCTTGATCGATGCCCATATCCACATGTTCAAGAATGACCAGTCCACACACTTCTGGCTGGGCCCCCAAAGCCCATCCTGCACGGGAGCCCACAGGAGCCCACCACGAAGCGACTCTGTTCCTTGTGGCGTCGAAGTCCGGTGTTTCGGACCACCCAGAGGGGACGAACGGCCGGCCGCACGCGGCCGCACGACGCGGGTCGGCCGGACTCGGCCGAAGGGCAGAGCGGCGGGCCGCCACCGGCGGGACGAAGGGACCGGAAGGGACGAAGGCCGTGATGGCTGCAGGTATTGCGACAAGTATTGCTTCCCCAATGACTCGCAGATTGAGCTCATCGACTCGGTCTGGACGGAGGAGCAGCTGAGCACGCTGACGAGCTATGGAATTTCCCTGGAGAATATCAAGGCGGAAGGATTCGATGCGGGGAAGGATACGAAACTATCGGTCTGGATCCATTTGTGCGAGAAATCGAAAAGAGAACTCTGACAGAAGACCTTGATAATCATGTGTTTAGTGGCTATAAAACGGTCATAACTACGACCATCCTGTTTGGGTGTCCTGTCTGGAGACCTATATAAGTATAGTTTTCTGGTAGTCCGGACACCCAGACAGGATGGTGCAGGTCGTCGAGTCAGACACAAGTCGACCAAAGCCGATTGTGAATCGAGCCCAACAGCACAAGGACAGACGACAACAGCACTGCTCAGCACGACCAGTCTCTTCGTTTGTGCCGCACTTTCCGAGGTTCAGAGGCAAAAGCCAAGGTTCTATGGCTGGTGTTTCAGAGACCCACAGCCATATCAATATGGCATGGCCTTTTATTTGGTATATTCAATTGTGCCATAACGGTATCGATGGCATGGAACGCACCCTTATCGATGTTTTTGTAGAGCTTCGCTCCGAACGGAGCAAGGACGGAGCCATGTTCGTCACGTTGGCACCTGGCATCGCTACTAGGAACAAGGAAGGTGGCTCCATCTCAACCAAACTTGGGGGCTCCTTGTGTGCCATCTACTCAAGCGCGCAGCGGTGCAGGGGGCCCGCCCTTGGAATGTTCTTCCGAAGACACTTCAGTCCAGTCAACACCTCACAGGGGTTCAGCCCGGGGCTTCCTTTTCTGCTGCGTGGTCAGCTGCACTAGATGATGGGTATCCAGAGGTTTAGGCAGTGGCAGTGGTGGCTGATTGGGGAGCTAGTCCAGAGTTCGAGACCTGGCTATCAGAACAAAGTCATGGACTGCTTTCATTCTTTGCACCCCGAAGTTGCAAACAACATTCCTGGACTTTCTTGAGTGAGTACTATAGGGTTTTGGTGAAAAACGGTGAAAACCATCATACATATACAAATGGATAACTAAATAGATAAATAAATTATACACACATACATACATACATACAGACAGACAGGACCAGACCAGACCAGACCAGACCAGACCAGACCAGACCAGACCAGA